TTTTTTTTTTTTTTTTTTCCTTATCAGTTTGTTGGCCCTGCGGAAAGCAGAGAAAGAGGAGGAGAAAAGAGCTAGGGAAAAAATTCGTCAGAAATTGGAGGAAGACAAGGTTCATTTAATTTCCTGCTGGTTTCCCTTTTTGCCCAACATTGTTGATATCATTCAGTAAATTTGTGTTTTAGGAAAGTAATTTGCTAGTTAGGCTTCTTTTTGAAATGCATATTTTTTACATAAAAAGGCAGTGTAGCTGTTCAAATATTATGAGGTAAACTAGCAATTGCTTTCCCATGGTCAAAGGTGGTTAACAATATAACTCTTGGTGACTAACAGACAACTTGGCAAAAGGGCCCTGCTGTGTTTTCTGCTTAATTCTTACCAAGCTATTGTTCTATATATATTGAAGTGACTCAAAAAAATTATTTTGAAGTGTTCCATCATTGTTACTTGATCTTGTCATAATTTTTAGGTGCATTAATTTTCTTACATCCCACAGGCTGAAAGAAGGCGGAGGCTTGGGTTGCCTCCAGAAGATCCTGCAGCTGTCAAACCCTCATCACCTGTTGTGGAGGAGAAAAAGGTTATTGATTCTTTGAATAATTATGAACCTGAAGTGTGTAAGTCAAACTTTTTGGGAACTGTTATTGAAAATATACTTGCTTGTATCTGAATTGCAGATTTCATTGCCAGTTAGGCCAGCCACAAAGGCAGAGCAAATGCGAGAATGTTTACGATCTCTCAAGCAAAATCACAAGGTAAATGAAATCATTGTTCAATCATGGTGATTTCTTGGGTATTAAACTGGTACATCTAGGCAATGGCAATGCAACCCAACTTAAACGAGTGTAACCTGTCATCTGTAAGTACAGTCTAATAATTGATCATGTGGAGGGAAAAGTCATTTATTTAATCCAATTACTTTGAGGCTTAGGCTTACTGGATTGAAGTTCTCTACTATTTGCATTAGTGCTCCCAAAATGGAGTTGGTTTTTCTTCGTGTCATCAAAGAGAAGTTCTGTAACACTTCTTCTGGTTGTTTTACTTCAGAGACCTAACTTCTTGTTTTCTCCTGTTGGATTAGGGTGACGATGCCAAAGTGAAGAGAGCTTTTCAGACTCTTCTAACATACATAGGGAATGTTGCAAAGAATCCTGATGAGGAAAAATTCAGAAAAATCAGACTGACTAATCAAACCTTCCAGGTAATGAAATGACCAAGCAAGCCTATATCATCTCATACATAGGTTTTTGTTTCAGTCTAATTATTCAATGGAAAAGCATATACATATAGATTTAAGGACATATTGTGTATTTTCTGCTTAGTTGTTGGTTCAAACAGTTTGTCACATAGATCGCACATATGCGTTTATATATTTACTGACTATTTTGTGGTCCTTGTTTTGGTGCACCGTCGAACAGGATAGGGTTGGTGCATTAAAAGGTGGCATTGAGTTTCTTGAGCTGTGCGGGTTTGAGAAAGTTGAAGATGATGAGTTTTTGTTTTTGTCTAGAAACAAGGTTGACATGGCGGTGCTGAATTCAGCTGGATCTGAGCTTAACTCTGCCATTAATAATCCCTTCTTTGGAGTCCTTTAATTTACTCAAAATGCATTCACAGATTTGTAAAATTCCTACACGCTTTCTTACCATACTTTGTTGACAGCTGGATCCAATCTGAGTTCTTTAAGTGGATCTCATCTAACTCATCTTTTTGATACTCTTCCTAAGCCGTTCTCTTCTAATTCATATATTTTCTGTAAGTCAAACATGGCATTAGAAAATATGGGTGCTCTCTCTCTAAAAAGGGCCATGAAAGAGTTGTTTCTTTAAAACTTTTATCTTTTGTTTGGATCGAGAGAAATGAAGCTAAAGGAGAGAAGATGAGAGGATATGATTTTCCTCGATTTTCCTCCATTTAAGTGGAGGAAGATGGTGTCTTCCATTCACTCTTATTTTCTTGGAGCTGAAAATGCTGTTAGTTTAAAATTTTTCCATAAAATGTGTTTGGGTTGATTAATTTTATTAACGCATTTTTTAAAAATGCTCCTTTAAGTTGTATTTATTTCAAATTGTTAAATAATAAATATTAACTATTGGAATGTAACAACTATCAACCAAATCATAGGGAGCTCAGCGAACATTTTCGACTAAAACAAGAAAATTAAGACAATGATTATTTATTAAGCTTTTTTGATAGTTTAGATTACAAAATATGAATTATTAGATTGAAAAAGGAACTCTTAATATTAAGGGTTTGCTCTAATGGATCTCATTTAATAATTAAAGTTGTGTAATTGAAGTTACATAATATTTTTTTTATTGTTTAATTTAATGAGAATATTACTCTCGATATTTATTTTTAATAGATTTAATTTTTAATATGAATTTTAAATGAAAATTTAACATACTATATAAGAAAAATTATTTTGAGACAATATTTTTATACCATATTTTAATACAACTTGAAGTATCATTTAAATTATTAATTCTTTTTATTCATGCAGGACTCATGATATTAAATGTATCAACTCATTTAATAACATGTGAAAGTTATAGAAAAAGATAATATAAAAATGTTATCCTTATAACATCATCTATTCTATAAATAATAATTAAAATTTTTTTTATCAAATAAAAATACTCTATTGGATTTTTGTATAAAAAAGTTTTCAATTATTATTTATTTAAATTGTTGATTTTTTGTCTAAAATTTATATCTGAAAAGTCAAAAAGTCAAAATAAATATAAGGGAGTAGATGAATAAAAGATGGAGGGCTTAATTGAACGGCATTAGACATTAAGTGCTGAACTGATATTTCTCTGTAAGTACAAGGACTGGTTTCGCTGATTTGGCCTAACAAAAACGAAAAATTATTTTTCGCTTCCTTCCTTTTTCCGGTTAATTATTATTATTATTATTTTTTTTTTGGCCACCAATTTTAATTTAATTGGACGCGTCATTTTCCAGAACACTCTTTCACCTGCAGCACGTCACCGCGCTGTCACTCCCGTCTCCATTTCACCACTACCTCGCCTCTTCGCCTCCGGGAACAGAAGAGAAGACAAACTCCAAAATCTCAGTCCACAATTCCTCGCCACTGATCTTCAATCTATCTTGAAATGGTGAAGAAGCGCGTTCCTGATTGGCTCAACAGTTCCCTCTGGTCCTCCCCTCCCACAGACGATCGCCTCCTTCGCTACTCCGCTGCCTCCACCCCCGAGCCGGCTTTGCAGCCTCCGGTTGCAGTGTCGCCTCCAGCGGCAGCAAGACCCAACCCGTCCCCTCCTCCCAGGCCCGAAACAAGAGATCTAGCTCATTCTAACAACATTGATGACAGCAAAAGCAATAATGATCGGAACGGAAGTTCCTCGGTCCCTTCTCCGGAGGACTTCTCTCGTCAGGCGCAACTATTGGCCGAGGTTAACCAGTGATTCTATATTTATTCTCTTTTCTTGTGCATGTGATGTTTGTATTGATTATATTTCTCTCTTGCTCATTTCAGTTGTCCAAGAAGGTAATAAATATGACGGAATTGCGGAAGATTGCATCCCTGGGGATCCCAGATGGAGCTGGAATTAGGTCTACTGTTTGGAAGGTAGGTACCAATTTATGTTTGGTTTCTGAGAAAATCAAGAACATAGAATGTGTTCCTGTTATTCGGAAAACTTACTACTTGGATAGAAAAAATGTTGGTTTTGATGGATTGTTTCTGGTGTTCATGTGAATTCTATGTTTATACACATAAGGTGTGAGATTTTTTATGTTCTCCAATGGAGATAACGCACATTGGTTCATTTGGCAGCTGTTGTTGGGATATCTGCCACCTGATCGTGGACAGTGGTCATCTGAATTAGCTAAGAAAAGGTCTCAGTACAAACATTTTAAGGAGGAGCTCTTGATGAATCCAGTAAGTCATTTTGTTTACTTATACATAGTTGCTCACTATGCTGTTTGAATATGGTGCACTATGAATTTGAAGTTGTACATAGCTCTTGGCACCATTAAACGAAGCAAGCTTTTTCATGTTAATGGATATCAGTTAAAAAAAAAGAGTGGTATATTTGTTTGGTCTTCCCCTTCCCCCTCCAAATTCCTTATCTTATTTTACCTGTAAAGTTTCTGGATTTCTGAATGTTTCTGTGGCTAGTCAGTCAGAAATCACCAGAAGGTTGGAAAATTCTACGAGTTGTGAAAAGGATGAATTAAAATCTGAAAGCAGTGGCATGCTGTCAAGGTCTGAGATAACTCATGGAGAGCATCCATTGAGCCTTGGGAACTCCAGCATCTGGAATCAATTCTTCAAGGTATTTATGGCATGTTTGTACATTTTTTATGGAGGCTAAACTTTAAATCTCTATTCTTTTTGGGTTGAGCACATTACAGCATATGTGTGATTATTGGACTGAGCCATTGCCATGGAATTAGTTGATTTGAAGTCATGATACTTTTAGTGCTTGGCTGACACATTGAAAGAAGTGTTGAGGATACATTTAAATGCAGAAGTAAAGAAAGAATGAAGGAGTTTCTGGGATAACAAAATGCTACCTTCTTTTAATCATGATCCTTTTCACAATCTTATCCTCTTTGTCCTTTTCAAGTTTTTTAACCAAGATTTGGCCTTCTCTAGGACACGGAGATCATAGAGCAGATTGACCGAGATGTGAACCGCACTCATCCAGACATGCACTTTTTCTCTGGAGACTCACGACTTGCAAAATCAAATCAGGTGGGTTTTTCACCTGCATTTTGGCTTGATATTTAAACTGAATACAAGTCATTCGTGTGACTCATATGTCATACATGCTCCCATTTTCAGGAATCTCTGAGGAACATATTGATTGTGTTTGCTAAGTTAAATCCGGGTATAAGATATGTTCAAGGGATGAATGAAATCTTGGCTCCAATATTCTATGTATTCCGAAATGATCCTGATGGGGAAATGGCAGTAAGTAGATATCATTGTTTTCCTTTTCATTTCTTTGCAGTAGTCAGTATCATATGTATGTCTTTTCTTGAATAATATTTCATCATAATTTGAAACTTGGATTGTTATTCTGTTTCACAGCTGTGCTTTGTCTTTCATGGTGTTTCTCATTTCTCGTAAATATTGCAGGCTGCTGCCGAAGCAGACACATTCTTTTGTTTTGTTGAGTTACTGAGTGGGTTCCGTGATCATTTCTGTCAGCAACTTGACAACAGTGTTGTGGGAATCCGCTCCACAATTACTAGGTTATCACAGCTCCTAAAAGAACATGATGAAGAACTTTGGCGTCATCTTGAGGTGACAACTAAGGTAAGACATGATCAATATGATATGTCTTCCTATTATCCTTTGTAGGTTTCTGTTTCTTTCTCTGTTATAAATGTTTGATCTAATGATCCTATATTGTTAGGTTGTGGTTAATTAGTTCTTTCCATCCCACAAATCTTTTCTCCTTCCCATCGCCCTCTTTCTTGCCCTCTTTCTTGGTTTGATTACTTTGTCTGAAATGAGTTCCTAACTGCTCTGAGTATGAATACTACAGGTCAATCCTCAATTTTATGCATTTAGGTGGATTACTCTGCTCTTGACACAAGAATTCAATTTTGCTGATTGCCTTCATATTTGGGACACACTTTTAAGCGACCCTGAAGGTCCTCAGGTAGGATTGAAATTAAATTTATATGGATAGTTTGTTGAATGGATCCATGTTCCCCAAGACCCTGTGTGTATAGAGCTAAACCACCCTCCACTATAATTCTTCAACCAATTAGAAGTCTTGGATGAAAAATGTAATTTTCTAGTCTAGTTGATTTTCACAAGTTAACAAAATTTGCATGTTGTTGCAGGAGACCTTGCTTAGAGTATGCTGCGCAATGCTGATTCTTGTTAGAAGGCGCCTGCTAGCAGGGGATTTCACTGCAAATCTTAAGCTTCTCCAGAATTACCCCTCGACAAATATTAGCCATTTGCTCTATGTTGCAAACAAGTTGCGCACCCAACCCTCTGGGTAAAAAGTTGACCACGCTTCTGTTCCAATCCTTAGTTTTTAAAGTGTATTTTTTTTTTGTGTAAATTTTCTGGGTGTAAAAATTGGTTGGGACTTAGAGAGACAGCTGATATGCTGACCGAAAATTTCTTAGTTATCTTGATGGAAAAGTTTAGTAATTTTTTTATTATTAGAGTTTGATTATTTAGTGAAAATGTATTGAAAAGATACCTGCTTTTTTTTGAGTCACAAGAAGAGAAGGAATTGCTTACATTTGTTTTAGACATGAAATTTGCCAAATAAATGCTAGACAATTGATTGAAGAAAGTTAATCTCATTCTCACGGAATACTGCATTGAGGAATAACCAGACCATCATTGCATCTACCTTTCTCGATAATAATGTGGTTTAACTCAAATCGAATATCATACAAGTGCCATAGTTCTTTCACTGCCTGAAATATATGGTGTTATCTAAGTGTAGCTGTACGACAATACAATCTGGAATTGTAAAAGTTAGAATGTTATTATGCTCCATTTTCCCATTCACTCTGTTGGTGTGATTTGAACCTCGAGAATCGTAGACCTGCAATCAGAAAATTTTCTGAGAATAGAAAGGCTACAAACCTAAAATAGTCAAACCACCAAAAGAAATCCCAGCTTCCGGGGAAGCAAAAGCCTGCAAAATATTGAAATCAGATAGGCAAAATTGCACCGAAATCAATTATCATACGGAATGGTGGACTACAGGAAAACTCCAGTGAGAGAGACTAACAAGTAGTAGCTCGAAGTAATCAAGAAATCCATCCTCAACAAAGGAAAATACAAAACTAAATATTTTTTAACAGAAGCAAATATTACAGTTAAATCCCCCATCCTAAATCTGTTTTTATCACCACCTTTATGGTTTTGTTATTACCAAAACTCTTTGGAATACTGACTGTTCTTCATATGCAGTTAACCTAAACTATTTTCGTTTTTAGATTTAGAATCACCCGTGTGTTCCCTCATATTTGATAGAAAACTACGATGCACTTTTCTAAACCTTACAAACCAACTATATCACTTGACAGTACTAAGACACAGATCACAGACATAAAGATCACCTGAAAACCTTGACACGGTAACAAAGCCTGTTTGGTTCTCCAACTTCTGAGGTAAATACCACCAGCAAAAGCTTCTGCAGGAGTTTTTATCTTTCTATGCTGCTTATGGTTGAATTTCTCTCAACCATAGAGTCTAGATCACTAGTCACTTCATTTTGTAACTGGCTTTCTAAAATTAACAGAACATTATCTGGTGGACATTTGTCAGCAGGATTCTTGGGATCCATTTGACAGAAGCATTCAGGCCAAGAATTTGTATAAAAAGATTCTGGAGGAACCCGCTTGTGAGGCCTGCCAAAGTTTGTTTTAAACATGACATGCCTAATAGCTTCTTCAAAACCAGCAGCCTTTCCCTTCTCTCGATCAATGAAAATTGGAGCAAGAGCTTTTCTGTCAGGTCTAATTGTAGTCCGGAAGCCATAATATAGGCGGTGACCCAGAAGATTGTTTGCAAAGTTGCTTGGTCCATCATATGTTGGCATAAAAATGTCAGAAAGGAGGCAGACCATGTAATCAACAGCAGACCCTAATAAGCCCTGTGTGTTGGCAACTAGCTCCTCTGAAGAATCCACAGAACTGTGGTTCTTAAGGTGAGGGAACAGAGCTCGGAATGGTTTCATGAATCGCTCCCCACCAAATAGTTCTCCAGCTGCTAGGTATATCCTAGTAGAATTGTCAAATCCCATGGCATGCAAGATTAGGCCAACCTGCAGTAGCATTACAAAATTTGACATTTATGTACCCTCCTGCTATCATTGAAAATGGTAAGATGAAAATGAAAACAAGTCAGGATACTTCTTCTGGGGTTAATGGGCATTTTCCAATGGCTCTTCTTTCATCATAAGCAAGCTTCTTTGGTGCAAAGTTTTTCTCCCTATAGTTCTTCAATATCTTCTGCTCTTCCGGGGTAAAAATATCAAAACACCTGTGAATGATTCATGCCCACTGGTCATTCAAGGTCTTCACATAAACCAGTTTGTGGTGATAGAATTTAAACCCTTTCTAGAAATTATAAAGAAGTTGGTATGGACCAATACATGAATTGTGAACAGAAAATGCAAGCCCATACTTGTACTAAGTGATGACCACATTATTGGATTTGTATTCTCAATTCTAGCAAATGATAGAAAACAAAAGTGGGGTGAGAGGAGAACAGAGGGAAGGAGGAAGAAGAAAGGAAAAGAAAACAAACAAAGCATACATATTTTAGTCTATGTGCATCCATATTCTGAAGCTTTGACTTTTCTTTCCATAAAACTTCTACAAGCTTATGCCTAAATATAGGAATAAGGGTCCAAACCCCTTTTTTATCCTTATTTATAGCATTACTAATCATTTTAATGAGAAAGTTTGCAATGACATAATCATCTCTCTGTAATGCATATGTGCAGTTGTGCACCATGTCCCTGCCCTGCCATGTTGAGTTACCACCCCCCCCCCCCCCCCCAAAAAAAAAAAAAAAAGAGTTTTAGCTGCATCATTATGCCTATTCTTTGCAGCCAAAATGGCCAAAACTTATAGAGGAACAGACACCAAGCATGTGACCATGCAAGCAATTTTTTATAGAAAAAAGAAATGATGATTGGCAAAGAACATACCCAGCAAATGCCAGCATATCCATCTCAAAACGAAGATGTATCGACATGAAGTGACCTTGTGCACGGAGTTTATCAACTATGGACTCGCTTAACTTCATAATATTTGGCTTGAACCTTAAAGCATGATAGTTAACTCGGCACCTCAATCGCTGATACTCAGGGTTGTCAATTTCTTCAGCCAAACGATGAGAAAAGGGGGTCAAATATATTGCTCCATGCTGCTTCATTTTCTCTAGAGCAAATGTTGTATACCAACTGATAGGAGCATCCCTTGGAGGTCGAATCTTAATCAGAACATGAAGGGGTAAGAAATGTGGAAAAAGCACAAATCAACACAATTATTTTTATAGTTAATATTGAGAAAAAATATATGTGAATAGACTACACCTGATAAGCTTTTATCTTCTTGGTTTTTCCATTCTTCCGAATTTCAGGTATACTTCCCACAATCCGTACGTCATACCTCAATGTCTCAATAAAATTTTCAACATCATATATTCCTTGGAAACCACTGGATCAGGTAAAGATAATATTAAAGCATTTCACACAAGGGATGCACCTCAGGAACAAGTAAATATAATCAGATGAACCAATTTTAACTTCTAGATTGCAACTCAATTTGAGAAATTTTCAATTGAGAACCAACTTTAGTCAACCAAATGGAGAAACAAAGCAGAAGCAGACAGGTATAGACTATCCCATGATTAACCAAGACCAAATTGACCTAAGAAAACAAAAAGTTGAAAGCTGTCTAGGATACTAAAAATAGACTACAACAGGTTAGAAAGCTGATGAAACCATGGCAGTCAAATAGGCAGTGAAATTATCTCAATGGGAACACTGGTATCATTGCCTTCAAAGCAGAGGAACATTCCACTTCTAGAATATAGGGTATTTAGCTCAATAAAAAATCAACAGATTACAAACAAGATACCTGTCATCATGCCAAAAGGAGTTAGCATCCAATTCAGGCAGCACAAGTGTAGCATTCATGATTCGTGCAGCAAGAACAGCATTACAAATCTAGAAAACCAAAAGGAGTATACTCATTATTTTATTTCATTCCAGGTCCTTGTTGCAAATTCTTGAAGTTCAGAAGATTTAAAGTAAAATGGAAGGCATTAAAGAACAATTGAATAACAGGCAAAAGTTTATTCTGCTGCACCCAATTGACAAAATATGAAATCATGCAATACAGTTTTTGATAAGAGGAAGACAAACCGCACTACGCTGCTGATTCAGACCACCATTACAGCGAACTCGAAGATAACCATTGCTCTCTCTTGGAGGGGCTGTTGTAGTATGTTAATCAGAATTTCCAAAAGTTTGCAAATCTTTAACATAAATTCATTGAGTTGGAATTACTCTAAAACAAAAGAAGCACTTACGGGGCCAATAAGATCGTGGAGCAGATGAGGGCTTCCATCCAGCAGCCTTGACACTTTCCCAAAGTTCTTCCACATTGACCTGCTTACACAGTGGCAACAGAGGCAAAAAATTTTAAAAACGCACAATGATATATCAATATAAACCACTACATTGGACAAATACTTGAAGATCAAATTTACTTCATCTTGAGTTTCACGATTTCGATATTCAATTTTACTTCTTCGTTTTCCAAGCACATTCTAAACAACCAAACAAAACCACGATCTAATGCCACAACTAACCTCTAAGGGTTCATTAGATCGACTGCTTCCACTAATCGTCGAGGAGAACAAAAGCGAGAGCGTACAGAGCAAGAGAACCAGAAGAGCAATCAAAAGCTTGGCCAACAGCCCCTTGGCTCCGCCTCCTTGCTTGGTATGCTGCCTATGCAGCCCCGGCCTGGAAACCAGAAGCAGAAATCAAAATGAAACAGTGGGAAGAAGAAACGAACATGAACCCCTGTTAAATTCCAAAAGAAAATGAAGAAAATTTCCAGGAAAAAGGAGAATTGATCAGGTTCCTGCCTCCTCATAATTTGGAAATGCGATCTAAGACTCTTGGTCTGTTAGTCTGCAGAGAGTGTAATTAATTGTGGAATAGGTGCTGATGGGAGTCATGGATTTGGCGGTGATTTAGATTCCTCGGAGAGATTGGGATGGAAGGAAGAGACGAGTTTTTTGTTTTTTTGTTTTTTTGCTTTACACTTAAGCATAATAAATTCGAAAATACTGAAAGAAAAAAAACTATTTTACAGAAGGATGGTATGTTTTGTATCTTATAAAATTATTTAAATATTTTTAATTTTATTTTTATATTTTTT